AAAATGCCATACTTTTGAAATTTTTACAAAAATGCCACTTTTTCAAAATTATTTTTTCTTTATATCATTTATTTTTTCTATTAGGGTTTAGTTATGAGGGTTTAAGGAGTTTTAGGGATCAAAATATTTTTTAGGGTTTAGAATTTTAAGATATAGGCTTTATAAATCTATAATTAGTGGCATTTTTGCAAATGGTCACCCCTAAGTGGCATTCTTGCAAATGTGCACACAAAAAGTGATATTTTTATAATTGCCCCATGATAATTTTCAACAATAACTCCTTTAGGTTTAGAACTTTTATATCCAATATGATTAAAGAACTAAAAGTTATGAATATTAAGTGACCAATTTAAGATTTTTTTGACTTTATTTTACGTCCAAGTAAACATTCTTAACTATGGGCGTCACTCCATATCCCGAGCAAGAGCAACTAGTTCGTCGAAGTTTACATTGAGTGCAATTCATACTGGATCACTTGAAAATGAATTAGCGATCAAATCCAACCACAACAGCTCCCACCTGAAAAGCGATTTCAGTAAAACTATACACAGTTTCCGTCTCAAGAAGAACAATTTCATGCATTCTATAAGTTGAAGTAGAGACAGGAACAAAAAGAAATTAAATGTATAGGAAAAATCATCATGGTCATGGTCAATTAGTAACAATGGCTCCAATTCAATATGCCTTTTACCATCCTCCTGTATTTGAATAATTTAACTGTTCAGAACAATAACAGAACAAAACTCTTGGACGCTAGTAAGAAAGGTCAGTGATACATACACCTCCAAGGTATTAGAAACCAGCAAGTTCGAGCTCTTTCAAGATCCTCCTCACCAATCACGTACACCTGAGTAAATATGCATCATAACTTGTAAAGGGAGGTGACTTACTTTTTTAATCATTTGATTGACATAAGAGACGTATACATAGACGACTGAGAAATGGTTTTACCTTCTTATCTTCTGGGAAATCAATAGATTGCACGTATGTAGTTGCAGCAGAAGAAGAAGCAAATTTATTCTCCTGAGAAGTAAAATGATAACTTTAATCAAAAAGAAGTGAACAATTATAGATATACAGAGGAGGCAGATAGTGACGTAAGTCTCTAACATTGTGGCCAATAGTCAGAAACTTATGACCGTATTGTTTCATGGACTTTGTTGAGTTGCTGTTACAAAACCCAATCTCTTCCCCTGTAAAGTTTGAGATTGAATCCAAGAATAGCGATAGAAACTTGCTAAAGAATTTGACACGATTTTAAAGTAAATTATTTCTTCTGAGAAATTGATTGCTTACCGATCTTGACACTGAACATAGTAAGAGTTTCAGGAACTCCCTGAATCAATTTATATCCTTTCCAAGTTACTCCT